CACCCACCGCCCAGAGAAAATACTTGTTGGTGTTTGAGCCACTATGTGTTATTTCCTCCCTAGGAAAATCTCAAGTAATTTTTTTTTAACTATTAAAAAGGAGATAGGCACCATCCATAGCGTGCCATAGTGCTTTAATGGCAAACAAAATCTTTCTCCATCTATGTGTCTACTCCATGCTCTGGGAAGATTTAACCCAAAGGATCAAACACTGGAGTTTTCCTCCCCATTCTACTCGTGCAGTAGCTGTGCTGAGTGGAGAAGCAGGGGATCTTGAAACAGGCTATGATTCGGCTTTACATTTCCCATCCAGGCAGGCATATAAGCCCTTGGCATACGTGTAGTTTCTGAGTATGAAAGGCTGGGAGAAGATAATACAAGCACCTGGGTCAGATCCTCAGTCCCATAGGACTGCTGTGTGGCGGCAGGAGCCTGTACTAAGCTAGCAACATCAAACCCCAAGACCCATGTCCCATGGTGGCCCAGTGGTTAGTTCATGGGAAAAATAGACAAGAGTTTTATGCTGACCCCCAGAGCAGTCTGGTTGAATTTTCATTCTAGACTCACTTTCCCAAACTTCATCTGGGCCAAGTCTTCTCATTCCTTTAATTTGGAAAAATGTTTTATGTATATGGGTGTTTTGTCTGCATGCATGTCTGTGTACCACCAGTGTACAGTAGGGTGTCAGGGCCCCTGGAGCTGGAGTTACAGACTGTTGTGAGCTGCCATGTAGGAGCTGGGATTGAACCCCCATTCTCTGAAAGAGCAGCCAATGCTATTAACAGTTGAGCCATCTCTCCAGCACTGACCTCTACCTTCCTAATAGGAACTGAGAAACTGCTGGTGGTGGTCCAGAAACTCTCTGGAGAATGCTGCCCACTTTTAACCGAAGCAAGGTTCTTTTCTCACATGCAAAGGAGGCTGTTCTGAGAGGGAGAAGGGTAATTTAGGTTGCTATGTTTAGCGACTTGTACATGCTATCTCCTTTCAACCTCATAACTAACCAAATGAATTATTACTGAGTGGATATGAAAAACACTATTGGCCCTGTGCGAATGAGGCAGTGGAGGCCAAGAGAACTTAAGAAACGAGTTAAAAAGAGAGGTATCATTTTTCTTTTATTTGCTCGATTGAACTAGGGCCTTGTTCGTGCTCAGTAAGCACTCTACCCCTGGGCTATATTCCCAGCCCTCTTTTCACTTTTTATTTTAACACAGGGTCTCACTAAATTGCCCAAGCTGCCTATGAACTCTCTTTGTAGTCCAGGCAGCCCTAGACATTTTCATCCCCCTGCCTCTGCCTCCTGAGTAGCTTACAGCCCTAGGATACCAAACCTGGTTTAGAGCTGAAATGGAGCTGGTACCTGTGGTTTAACTCATGCAATTGTATTAGGAGAAGTGCTCTTCATTTTCTAGATGATTTTGGACTTACTTTTTTCCCCTCTGAGACAGGGTCTCTCTGTGTAGCTCCAGCTGTCCTGGAACTCACTCACTCTGTACACCAGGCTGTCCTGGAACTCCAGAAACCCTCCTGCCTCTGCCTCCTGAGTGCTAGATAAAAGGCATGTGCCACCACTGCCTGACTACTTTTTTTTTTTTTCTAAGCAGTGACCTAACTAGCCAAAAGCTGTCACACTTGGCTACTTTCTGCTCAACCCAGCTGAGCTCTGGGTTGAGGAGCTGCACACAGGCTCACATTCTGAACCCTGTGGATGGGACTCAGCTCCCAAGGTCATTAGAACAAACACCCATTTAGTGAACTAACACAGTATACTCAGTACATACTTTGACAGCTCTTGAGGAGTAGGAACCAGAGTCTTGATTTGTTGGTTCTCAAGTCCATTTCTGCCTCTCAGAATTCTACCCTAAAAAAACAGGCTGAGCAACCCTTGAGCAGGCCAGTATGTAGAAAGTGTTTCTGCATGGTCTCTGCTTTAGCTCCTGCCTTGGCTTCCCTCAACAGACTGTGTGTGCAGAAGAATACGTAAAGCAAATAAACTGTTTTCAGTCAGAGTTTTCATCATAGCAACAGAAAGCAAATAACAAGAGAAAGTAAACTAAGACATTCTGTAAGCCTCTGTTCAATTTCTGTAATGCTGTATTAAATGTACACCCCACTGTGTGTGTGTGTGTGTGTGTGTGTGTGTGTGTGTGTGTGTGTGTGTGTGGAGAGAGAGAGAGAGAGAGACAGAGAGAGACAGAGAGAGACAGAAAGAGAACCCCAGGACTTCTTGTTTGTGAAGCAAATATTCTACCCCTGCACCCCTGCCCTGACACACACATAGGCCAGCAATCTGGCATTTTGTTTGCTTTTGTTTTAATGATACTATTTCTTTCAATATGCTTTTAAAAAAAAGTATTAGCCCCCCCCCCTTTGGCAAAAACTTTCATCTCTATGTGTGAGGTTGATCTGATTGAACATAATGTATTTTAGAAAAATATATTTGGGAACAACACATCTAATAAAGTTCTCTATACAAAATAGATGCTAAATTTTTGCTAAGTGACCAGACACTTGGACATACGAGTGCCACTGTGTCCAGATGCCACTTCACTTTTTTTGTGCACGAAGAAGTGGTTATTGGGGAGGGGAAAAAGTATCACTTTGCCTATTTAAAAATGATTTAATTCAGAATTTTGTATTTTCCAAATTTACTTTGCACAATTAAGCTAAGCGCCCAATGTCACAACTTCAGTGATCAACTTGTTTGTGGGCTGCATTAGAGTCAAACTGGTTCTGTTATGGCAACCAACTGAAGCAGAACCCAGCTGAGTGACACCGGGGTGAAAATGTCCTTGTTCCCACCACCTCTTTTTAAAAGCTTTGTTCCTTTGTAAACTGCTCTGGCTTTGAAGGAGTTTGGGAGTGCTCCTTTTCTTTCTTTCTTTCTTTCTTTCTTTCTTTCTTTCTTTCTTTCTTTCTTTCTTTTCTTTATTTCTTTTTTGACTAATACAAGAAATACCTGCTATAGATCTTCTTTGACAGTCTGGTAGAATTCTGCAGTGAATCCACCTGGGCCCAGCCATTCTTTAGTTGGAAGGCTTTTTGTTTCTGCTTCAATCTTCTCCTTAATGTTCAGCTTAGGTCATTGGCCTTTTTTCATTATTGTTTCAATTTCCTTGTTAGCTATAGATCTGCTTAGGTTGTTGCCCTCTCTTTCTTTGGTTTAAATTTGGTGGTTTCGGTGCATCTACAAATTCATCCGTTTCTTTTAGATTTTATAACTTGATTGAATATAGGTTCTAAGCGCTCCCTTCCGCTAGTCTGGCTTTCTCTGTTGTCTGTTGTAGTGTTTCCTCATTCATCACTTTTCTGTCCATCTGGGTTTTCTTTCAGTTAATGGATCAATAGTCTATTGAGCCAGCTCTTACACACATTGATTCTTTGTGTTTCCTTGGTTTCTACCTCGTTCATTGTACTCTGACTTATTTTCTTTCTTCCCATCTACTAGATTTGGGTTTGGTTTGTTCTTGTTTTTCCAAATTCTTCAGTTGTATCAAGTCATTCATTTGTGCTCTTTTGTAAGTAAAAACAAAATATTTACTTTTATTTTACATGTATAAGTGTTTTGCCTACATGTATATAAGTGTACCAAATACATACAGAGCTCAAGGAGGCCAGACGAAAGCATCTGATAGCCTTGGAACTTGGAATTGGAACTGGCATTATAGCTAGTTATGAGCTGCATTCCCAGGTGGGTCCTGGGAACAGAACTAGGGTCTTCAGCAAGAGCAGCAAGTGCTCATAACTACTGAGCCACCCTCTTCCTTATTCCCTCTTAAGACTGGTTTTAATGTGTTCCAGATGTTTTTGTTGAGGTTCACTTTCATTTGATTTTAGGGATTTTAATAAATTTCTTATTGATTATTTTTTTATCCCAGCCCTTATTAAGTAATATGGTTTTTAATCTCCATGAGTTTGTATAACTGCTAATAATTCATCGATTTTAGGCCTTGTTACATTGTGGACAGGTATAATATGTGAAGTTATTTCATTATTTCTGACTTTGTAAAGATTAAAGATTTCTTTTGTGTCACAGTATATGGCCTATTTTAGAGAAGACTCCATGGGCTGCTGAGTAGAGTATACAGTTTTTTAGTGTTTGGGTGGAATAGTATGTAGATATCTGTCCATTTGATTTATGATGTTATTTAATTCAGATGTTTCTTTGTTTAATTTTTGCCTAGATGATGGGTCTCCTTTTTTTTTTTTTTTTTCAAAATTTATTTTATTTTCTGTGCATTCATGTGAGTGTGTCAGATCCCCTGGAACTGGAGTTGCAGGTATTTGAGGGCTGCCATGTGGGTGCTAGGAACTGAACCCTGGTCCCTTGGAAGAGCAGACAGTGCTCTTAACCACTGAGCAATCTCTCCAGCCCCAACTTGGTATTTTCTAATTTGTCATTATGAATAACATATTTTATGCTGTTTTCCAGGTAGACATGTTCTTAATTGGAAAAAAATAAAGTCTTATGGCAGCAATTGAAGACTCCCAATTTCCCACTGAATATTCCAGTTCAAGCAGGCCTGCCTCTTTGCTGATGTTAGAAAAGATTTTTTTCTTTTCCAGATATATTCAGGAAACCATTGTATAAATTCCTGGTGCCTTTCTCCAAATATCAGAGACAGTCTTAAATAATATGAGGCCTTCATGGGTATAGTTTGTTCTTAGGTCTCAAATTGTGAGTGACAGCATTTACAAAGCATAAGGCAACCCACTTATACACATTTAAATGGTTAAAGTTAAGGATTGGTATTTATACTCAAGAGTGGGACAGCCTAGAACCCTCAAATGCTCCCCCAACCAGTCATAGCCAGATGTTCATAAGAGCCACTCCTTACGCTGCTTTTGTGCTTTTTCTCTACAGCTTTACCTCATGTGAGTACATCCCTCCACAAGAACTTTGCTTACCCTGTTTCATCAAGGCTATAAATGGAGGTAAAGCATGCAATGTATATCAATTTGGTTTTCACACATATTTTCTTATTGTTGCCCCTTAGGAAACTCTGAACTAGGAGTCATGGAAACCAAACCCAAGCTATACTACTTTCACGGCAGAGGCAGGATGGAGTCGATCCGCTGGCTGCTGGCTGCAGCGGGAGTGGAGGTTGGTACGTGGTTGGGGATGGTACTTAAGTCCCATCTCCTTCCCTTTCTTTGTAACTCTTTTCTTAGATAAGAGAAAAGCAGGGAGATTACAGTTATGTGGTCCGGGGAAGAGGAGGAGTTGAAGGCTTGGGATAGTCTGAAGCTCCTAGAGATAAAAAGGTCGTCATGGAAAAACTGTCCATCTAGCTCATTCCCTCCATTGGGAATGGTTGATTTTTCTGAGGCCATTTAATTCCTGCCTCAGCATCTCACTAATGAAATATTCATGGCTGCCAGCTGGAGCAACAGCCCAAATGTGAGATCTGCTGATTGGCTCTTCCCTTAACTCCAAATTCTCCTTGTCGACGTTTATGTCCTGGAATTAATCTCTCTGTCTAAATGTCATCTCCTCTATAACAAGGGATCCCTGAAATCTTTGTTTTCCATCTTTGCCTTTAGAGGCTCTCCCTTAGTCTGTTCATCTGTCCCACACCATCTCAGGTTGTGAAGGACAAAACCACCCTTCAAAGTTTTAGAAAACCCATCAGTAAGCAACTATAGCCTCAGTTGAATGGGATCTTTGGATTGTCTTCTTGGATTATGTCAGTCTCAAATATAAACTTAATTTGGTCTGATATGAAGGAAAAATTATAAAAACCAAAGACGAAGGAGAGAGGGGGAAAAAGAGGGAAAACTCATTGGAGAAGATTGGGAGCAAAGATAGACAAGTGCTTAGAGTAAGGGAAGAGCTAGTCTAGGCAAGGCAAAAATGAGAAAGTGGGGGGCTTGGGGATTCTTGATGTAGCTGAACCTCCCAAAGGTCTTCCAGTGCCATTTTACTCTTTCAGGCTCATCCAACCAGTAGCCCCCTGGCCACATGTATCCCAGGATAGCTATGAATGCAGCCAACACATTGGTAGATGATGACATCATGTCACAATGTCAAAAGGCTGGACACCCCTGACATCTGATGTCAAAAACATGCCTTTAGGTGGGAGTCAACAGCTTTGTGGTTCATTTTTAGATTTTATTCTGAAACTATAAGGCATTTCCAAAAGGTGTCAGAATCTCTTTCTCCCTACTTCCTATCTTAAAGTATAACAATAGCTTTCTCTCCTTAATCTAGTTTGAAGAAGAATTTCTTGAGACAAGAGAACAATATGAGAAATTGCAAAAGGGTAAGCCTTGATTTATTCAATGCTATCTTATTGGAAGAAAAATAAGAACTGGAAATAAATTCATCAAAAAGAACACAGGTCTCAGGAATGGTAGCTACTAGAAGGGACTGGCATCAGTATTCCTACAAATGTTGACTGATTCATCTCTGTTTCCCTGATGCAAAGCGAATGTGTCAATTATCTGATCTCTGTAGCCTTCATGCATACCAGGTATCTCACAGGACTGGCCTCTCATTTAATATAATAGTATTGGCTGCTTAGTTCTGAGTGGCTCAGCACCTGACTCCCTTTAACAAGTCTTAATCTTGTCTCAGTGGCTGAGGGCAGGATAAAGGGGATAGCTCCTACGCTTTTAATAGATTTATGAAATTATGGCATACACGATAGACATGAGACTGAACCATATCCACTTTTACTTTTAAATTTTATTTTCTGGGGCTGGAGAGATGGCTCTGTGGTTAAGAGCACTGGCTGGTCTTCCAGAGGTCCTGAGTTCAATTCCCAGCAACCACATGGTGGCTCACAACCATCTGTACTGAGATCTGGTACCCTCTTCTGGGCCACATGTGTACATGCACATAGAACACTGTGTACATACTAAATAAATAATCTTTTTAAAAAATTCTATTTTCTGACAATTCCATTCATGTATATGAATTATTTTGATAACACTCCCATCCCCCGACTAAATGCTTTCTTCTTTCCAACAAGTTCCCCTCCTATTATTATGTCTTGTTTTTTTTTTTTTTTTGTTTTTGTTTTTGTTTTTGTTTTTTTTTTGGTTAACGCTTCTCCTAACTCCTCCTCCTCACCATGACTGAATGTTGGCAAGCCCAGTCTTGTGCAGACTCCATGCAGACAATCTCAGCTGCTGTGTTAGTGATTGTAACAGCCATATCATATCGGAAGTTAAATCATCGCCCGCTTCCCCATCATTTGGCCCCTATGTTCTTTCTTTACTCTCTTCCATGATGGTTCCTCAGCTTTGCCTCCTTTTGCTTTTGTATCACATGCATTCCATTCCCACCCCAAGACCTCTTTATTTCCCTGGGCTCCTTTTTCTAGCCTCTTAGCTTTTACAGATACTCCAAGTTAAGCATTAAGCATATACATCTAACAATTTGAGGCTAGGATCCACTAGCCTCTGTAGGCTCTGTAGGCATCTTAGTCTGTGTGAGTACATACAGTGTCCACACAAGGACAAGATTACCTAATACACAAGTCTCCGAAGGTTTTCCTTCCTGTTAAGTTATAATAAACAGAAGTTATGTAAGTCGTCACCGTACAAAAACTTGGTTTTGATTCGCTTGGATTGCTGGCATTATTTTATAGCTATTACCTCCTTTCAAAGTCCTGCTGAATAGATATTGTTAGAGATAGGATGTTGTAGCTTAGGTAAATAACTTGTTCAAACTTGCATGGCTAGAATGGATGACTGCATGAGAAATGCTCTTGTGGATGTATCCTTCCTGCCTAGAGCAGGGAGTTAAAAGAATGCATACTCTGAGACTTTAGTCCCAACTCAGAATATCTGAGGGGAAGGCATTCTTAGCAACCTTTCATGATTAGTGACTTTTATATAGCTTAAGCCTTGAGAACCAGAAATTTATTATATGTACATAAAATTTGCTTTGTATTTATATTATGTTTTATATATATATATATATATATATATATATATATGAGTAAATGTAGAAAATGCTGTTGTTCAATACATAAAAAAGCACAAAGTAGTCAAATAAAGCTCTGATTTGACGTGAAACAAGTGATTGACATTTCTTACCTACTGGGCCTGTCATTCATCATTTATACTAAAAGCCATTCAGTGAAGGTAGCTGGGCTATCCCGCAGATGGACTGCAACCACTGAAACCATTGAAGATGAGCATCTTACCCTCTCTTTCACATTGCAGATGGGCTCCTGCTTTTTGACCAAGTACCTTTGGTTGAAATTGATGGAATGCCGCTGACTCAGTCCAGAGCCATCCTTAGCTACCTTGCTGCCAAGTACAACTTGTATGGGAAGGACCTGAAGGAGAGACTCAGGTACCTTAGTGTTTGTTCCTGTACTAGATTTTAAATGAAGCTTCTGCGGTCTTACACCAACTGAAACGAGATCTCATTTCATCTTTCAACCGAAACTGAAGGGGGAAAGCCAGGGGACAAAGGGGAAGTACTATTGCTAGAGGTGACGCGGCTTGTGCAGAATTCTGAGCACTTATTCTACACTCTCTTTTTGTATACAATTCATGCTAGTCAGCTTGTAGTATTGTCATATTCATGCCTAGCAAACTAAGTTCTCAGAAAGTGACCTAGTAAAGCATTTTACGTGAAGGTGCAAATGACTCAGCAAACAAGCCTTGACCATTGTGTCGATGATCTATTTTGCTACCAGCTTGAAACAGATTTCAATTAGCAAGCACTCATCTATGGGCTTCTGGGTGGCCTCTGTCCAGCCTGGGTTGGACTTATCCCAGTTGGACACACCCATATGTCTACCAACCAGTAGTTAACCAGGCAGCTCTAGATTTGGGTATTGGCAGATTGTCGGCTCAGGAAGGAATAGGGCACATATCTCCCATACTGTCATTCTAATCTTCTCATAAAATATAGACAGAACTCTAAGAGTGAACGTGAAAGATCATAAGTATCGTAAGCTGAGCTCAGAGCTTGCCCCTCATCTTTCATCTTATTCATGGTCAATCACAGGTCAGCCTGGGAAAGCCCTCATAGAAGGAGCTGACAGGATTTGTCATAAATACTGGAAGATGAAAAGCTGTAGTTCTTTGTTTTGTTTTGTTGTTTGTTTGTTTGTTTTGTGTCTATATCCCATGAACACCTTCTCTGTTACATGATGTGTTGGAGCTGGCTAAGGATAGTTTTGTTATTATAGTTGTATTATAAGTAGTTTGGTTTCATGATAGATAAGTAGATGAGGTAGAAAAAAAATGCTTTTAATTATAAAAATTTAGTCTAGATTTGGAGTTAATTAAGTACAGGCTGCCTAAAATCTCCTCATGGCAAACATGACGTGGTAGAGTGGTCAGTACGTATAGAAGATGCAGTAGTAGAAAATCCCAAGTTCCGTTATTTAGAAAACAGAGAAAGGGTGTCTCATAGGAGTGAGCAATGCCCAGAAGCAGCCACGAATCCCTACATGCCCACAGGTTCCCATTGAAACAGATGGCAGCAGGAGCAATTGCACAGCCTATAAATACTGTGCATTTCCACCGTTTTGATATATACTTTTTAGTTGTTTTTAAAACTAAGTTTTTTATGATCTCTACACCATCATAATCCCACTCTGTTTGTGGCAGGTTTCAACATAGAGGCATTCATTTCCTTTCATATATCCTTTCATTCAATAAATGTTTGCATAGCCTCCACTCTATCACCTAGCTAGACTTGGTCCTGAAATTCTTTCCTGAAGGTGGAAGATTTGGGAGAGATTCAGACACTGTTTGCTAACACTCTGCATCCTGTCCAGTGTTGCACTAGGAAGCCTGCACTTGAAGGCTCCGTTCCAATGGGAGTCTATGGTTTATTTTCAGGATTGACATGTATACTGATGGCACCCTGGACCTGATGCTAATGATTGCCCAGGCTCCATTTAAACCCCCTAAGGAAAAGGAGGAGAGCTATGCTTTAATAGTGACGAGAGCTAAGACTCGTTACTTTCCTGTCTTTGAAAAGGTAAGCTTGTATATTCCTAATACGCAGAATGTTTAAGAATGCATGATAAGAGATGGGAGACATGGGTACCAGTGGGTAAAGGTATCTGCTGTCAGGACTGAAAGCTTGAGTTCAGTCTTGGGGACTCTGATGGTGGAAGGAGAGGCCTTCTCATGCATGCTGTGGCAAAGACCTCCCCCCCCCCCTACATAGTTACACAAAGTGAACCAAGTAAAAATATAAAAAGAGAGGCTGTATCAGAGCTTTGCTACCGTAGGGTCTGTGGTGGTTTGAATGAGGATAGCCACCATCCACTCAGTCCCCAGTTTATGGAACTGTCTGGGAAGAGTTAGAGGTGTCCTCTTATTGGAGAAGTATGTCGCTGGGGGCAGGCTTTCAGGTTTCAAAAGCCCACACCATCTCCAGTGAGCTCTCTCTGCCTCATGCTTGTGTTTCAAGATGTAAGGACTCATCTACTCCAGCACCATGCCAGCCTGTCCACTGCTGTTCTCCCTGCCATGATTGTCATAGACCCCAATCCTCTGAAACCATAAGACCCATCATATGCTGCTTTAGCCATGATGTCTTATTATAGCAATAGAAAAGTAACTAAGACAAGATCAAAACTTTTTAAAAAAAATTATTGATTTTTAAATTTTATGTGAATGGGTGTTTTACCTGGTGCCCACAGAGGCCAGTAGGGGGCACCAGATCCCCTAGAATTGGTTACAGGTGGTTGTGAGCCACTATGTGGGTTTGGGAATTGAACCCAGACCCTTGGAAGAACAAACAATGTTCTTAACCAGCAAGCCATCTTTCTAGCTCCTAGGACCAAACTTTAATAATAGATTCCAGAACAAGTTACAAGGAAAATTATAGAACCTCAAATAAAACAATTTCTGTTCTGTTTTGTAAAGAATCAGTAAGCATTAGCCCAAAGTGTCACCATCTTGAATTCCATGCCTGGTGCTGGAGGCTAACTGTGCCTTTAAAAAAAAAAAAAAAAAAAGACAAAAGCTTTTAAATTTGTACATCAGTCAGTAGAAAATGCTAGTGAAATACATCTTGGAAGGTTCTAAGCCCCTTCTAACACTAAGAAGTGTATAGAATGGTAACAAAGACCTATTAGTGCACACAACTAAAGGTTTTGTAGGATACTGTGTAAACTATAGTGCAGAGTTCTGCCAGTCCGGTGTTCTAGATGAGCTTCATTGATCCAGGGACAATGTGAATGCTTTTGAAGCACCTTCCATTTAAAATGTCACACAATTTAGTCTGCCTTATACTGTAGATTTTAAGCCAGGTAATCTCTACCCCACACTTCCCAAAGCATTTAAAAATAATTTGTTTATTCAAATCTAGATCAAACTCAACTTTACAATTCTAATTAGGAAACTTAAGTTCCTTTTTACCTGTCAGGTCCCTCTTACTTGTCTCCTTTCCTCTTTTCTGTTGCATTTCGTATTTCCTGCGCTGAATTTTAGTTAACGCAACTCCTATGTTCCTGAATGTCTTGTAATCTAGAAGCTGGAAATCTAGTCTTGATTGGACTCAGGTCCAATCATTTGGCCCCCAGCATACTTCATAGATGGCATTGTGTGAATTACCAAGGAGCACAAGGTGTCTGATTGTTGTTCTTTGTACAATGTTAATGCAATAGACAATGCCAACACATGCTGATTTATTAGTAGATGGGAACTATCTATCTATCTATCTATCTATCTATCTATCTATCTATCTATCTATCTGAGACATGTTCTCTAGCCAAGCTTCATATTTAACTATGTAGTCCAAGCTGGTCATGGCCTCAGTTCTCCTGTCTCCAAAGTGTGTGATTGTAGGTGTGATTCACCATCCCAGCTCTCTTCATGCATTGTATAGAATAGTTTCTACACAGAGACTCTCCCAAGCCAAATGCAGTAGGCACCTCTGTAGTCTCAGAACTTTGGAGATAAGACGGAGAAGAATCTAGATTTCAAGGTCATCCTAGGCTACTTAGCTAGACAGAGAGAACAGGAATCTCTCTCCTTCATGACATGGAGTATGGTTTATATAAGATAAATGGTGGGGAGCATGGTGGATTGCAAGTAGACATGGTGCTGGAGAAGTCAATGAGAGTTCTAGATCTGAACCCACAGGCAGCATGGAGAGAGACTCTGGGCTTTTGAGACCTAAGACCGCCCCACAGTGACACACTTCCTCCAACAAAGCTGCCTTCTTAATCCTTTCAAATAGTGCCACTCCCTAGTGACACAGTATTCAGATCTGTGAGCCTATGGGGGGGGGGGGTCATTCCCATTGAAACCACCACGCTTATTGTGCTTAATTTGTTTGAAGATCTTATTCAGAAATGTAGACTATAAACTATGACTATTCCTCATGACCAAAAAATAAATGTGAGAATTGGTTTCATGTATTTCCACCCAGTTTTTAAAAATACAAATAGAGGTATTTTCTTTTCATTTATAGATAACTGTGGTTATATTGAAGTTACTTACACTACTGATTTATCGTTTAGAAGATTTTCCAAAGCAGAATTTTCATGTAGCTACTACTTGGCATTAACAATGTATAGAGTTCTGCCTGCATGTATGCCTACATACCAGAAGAGGGCACCAGATCTCATTACAGGTGGTTGTGAGACACCATGTGGTTACTGGGGATTGAACTCAGGGCCTCTAGAAGAACAGCCAGTGTTCTTAACCTCTGAGCCATCTCTCCAGTCCACTGCTACTTCCTTGCTTAAGACCTTTTTCTTTTCATTAAATTTTTTTTTTAGGTTAAAAATTTTTTTATTCTGTATGTATAAATATTCTATCATGTATGTATCTGGTGCCCATTGAGGCCAGATGAGTGTCAGATCCCCTGGAACTGGAGTTACCAAAGGTGCATGTGTTGTTAATCACTGAGCCACTTATCTAGACCCTTCCCAAGTTCTTATATGTATTATTCCCTCTTTGTGGAGATAACCATGTTTTACGTATTTGCTACTCAAAGCTGACTCTGCTATCTTTTTGTATTTGCTTTCCACTGGGTACTGGAAAAGTAACTTTTTTCAGGTTTGGGCTTCTAATTCCACTGTTGACTTATTTTGATTTGTGTCCTAGCAGCCGGGTTCTCAATAATTCCAGCTCCCACGGTGGGTACAGGGTGCCTTTACTTCTCCATGCTTTTCAGCAAGTGTCAGTACTTGGCCACATAAGGGCCTTGACAACCACAGCCTTGTTCCCAAAGAGATCACATCAGTGCAAGAGTGTTGGCTTCAGCTTGTTCTCGCTAGCTCTGGAGATCACCAGAGACTCCTCAGTGAGCCTCATCATGATTTCCATTGAAGTGTGTTTTTCCTTTCTGTAGATTTTAAAAGACCACGGGGAGGCTTTTCTCGTTGGCAACCAGCTCAGCTGGGCAGACATACAACTGTTAGAAGCCATTTTGATGGTGGAGGAACTCAGCGCCCCTGTGCTGTCCGACTTCCCTCTGCTGCAGGTAGGATTCTCATCAGCGCAGACACAGAACCCTGGGAGATGCAGCGGGAGCGATGCCCAAAATAATAGGTGCCTGCAAGCCAGACTTAAAACTTAAGAGAAACTGTTTCACAAAGCATGTTTTATTCACTCTGGTTATTTAGGCACGCTTACACTATAGGAACTGTTAGGGAATGAAACTTTATATGATGGGAAAATGGGTATTTGAGGTTCTAATATGAACATTTAACTGCTGGGGCGGGCAAGGGGTGGAGCACATGACCTGCATGTAGGCGGTCCTAGAACATTCAGGGCTTTTATTTATTTATTTATTTATTTATTTATTTATTTATTTCAGTTCTCTAAACATTTTTACTTGCAACAGCAGCCTTTGTTCTTCCATTCTGGCTCTCTCAGATGATGGTGCCCACTTTTTAGTGGTCTCAATGCTGGGTCACCTCTTGGTTCGTTGCCTCAGCTTACACAAAGAATCCCACCATTGCGACCTGACTTGGTTCCCGCTCTAGCTCCTCACATTTCTTACAGAGAGAAGCATTAGGTTTTGTCAGTGAAGAACAATGTTTTTAATTAGTTTCTCCAAGGGTGTCTTGCTGGGTATACAAACCACATTTGAGGACAGACTCCATGCCCAGCAGTAGATGGCCAACACAAACTCAATGGTATTTTGGGAGACTTTTTTCTTAAACCTTACCAGTCTTTTGCCTATATATCATAGTTTCCAATTTTGTGTTTTTATGGGTTTTGCGCACGTGCGTGCATGCATGTGTGTGTTTGTGTATTTGTTTCTTCCTTTCTTAGTGTTTTCCTTTGTTCATTAGTTTGTTGTTTTTGTTTTATCACTGTCTTATTTGCATTTTGTTTTCTTAAGTCAGAGAGAGAAAGAAGGCATGGAGTTGGATGGGTTTAAAAAGGAATTAGTTATCATTTTAATGTGAAGAATGTCAGGTACTCTGAATTATGAATAAAAATGTATTGTGAAAAAAAAAAAGAACAGCATTTCTTCCTTCTTGTTACAAAAGAAAACGTGTGTTCATGCATTTACACTATCTAAGCCAAAAGATGAAAGTGAAAAAGACCTAAAATCCTGTAAGTCAAAAGTTACTGACAGGAAACCAATTTACCTATCACTTTGTATTTTCCTTTCATATGCCATATGAAAGCATTCTTTTATTATAAACGAAGAGCCCTAAATCCCTAAATTTAGAACATCAGCAAAGAGAGCACCATGCTTCTAGAAGATCTGGTGCTTCTGGGAGAGGCTGGTGCTCAGAGGGTGTGGGGTTCCTTTGGAGCCAAGGTGTTTGTCAGAGAGCATGACGCTTCTTTTGAGTCGAGGGTGCTGCTGGGAAACCAGTTCCTGAAGGCTCCAGATAGCACTCAGCTGAGGCCAACAGCTGGCGCTTGCTAATGTGTCCCACCACTTGTTGTAATTTCTTTTCTCACACCCTAAAATATTCCCTTTTAATACATTCCTAAAACAAGACTTAATAGGTCAGAGAATAGAAATAGTTAAGGGCTTTTAATATGTTCTGGTCATGCTTTTGCCTTTTTAATAAGACATTTCAATTCACACCAGGAAAAGTCAGCAAACACACCAAGAAGTTAGTTCATATCCCCAACACCGTGGGCTTTAAAACTAAAGGCCTAAGCACATCCTCTGTGGCAAAACTCTGATGTTTTCTTCCTTTCTTAAAAAGGTTTATTTTATTATGTATATAGTGTTCGGCCTGCATGTATGCCTGCAGGCCATAAGAGAGCACCAGATCTCATTACAGATGGTTGTGAGTTGGAAATTGAGCTCAGGACCTCTGGAAGACCAGCCAGAGTTCTTAACCACTGAGCCATCTCTCCAGCCCCAAACTCTGACAGATATTGAGCTCCTGACTTCACTGTTTCTTGTTTCAGGCATTTAAGGCAAGAATCAGCAACATTCCTACAATTAAGAAGTTCCTTCAGCCTGGGAGTCAGAGGAAGCCACCTCCAGACGGCCACTATGTTGAGGTGGTCAGGAATGTCCTGAAGTTCTAGTGGCCTCAGGTCTTAAGATGGATACATCAAGTATCCAATCACCGCAGGCCAGCTACAGAGCATTCCAGAAGCAAGGTATAGATATATCCCAGGAGTTTTTGAAAAACAAAACCACTCTGCCATCAGAGACACATGCCAATTAAATATAATGAAAAACTATCTCTTTGGTAAGGTGTTTGTTTTAAGCTTGTCGGCTGTGGATGACAGCTAAGAGCGTCATGAAACCAGAGTTCCTTATGAAGAGGTGGTCAGCAGACAGACATACTCAGGACACTGAGTCACATGGGGCATTATCTGTCTGTATAAAGATCAGAATGGTAACGGGCAGCGGTGGGGGGTGGGGACTTCAGATGGGAGCAGAGGGTCACTTCAATACCTACACTGGTTTCTGAGAATTTGGGATTGGAAATAGAATGAATAATCCTGGGAATAGCTTCCCATAGTAAGCCCTATGCCGAAGTGGGCGCACAAAGGGTGTCTGGGGCTCTGTTTTGAAACCTATTAAAGAAAAGAACCTGGTTATCAGGAAGCCCTCTTCCAGCTACCAGAGCCCCTGAGGCTTGGGTTTGGCTTTGCCTAGACAATCCCAGAGGCCAGTGGCATCAACCCAACACCAATGAAATACGTCCTTATTCAAGTTGAACAAAAGCTTCCTCGGTGGGTGTACCTTCTTTAAGTGTAACTATTATGTTTCCCAAGTCATACATCAAGCTGGACCCCACGCAGGTTCATTTAGTGGGAGTAGAGGAGCGGGTGATGTTGCCTTAGCACCTGTGACTTTTGATGGCCTCACTGGTCTGAAGAAATTTCCTGCCAGTGGTTTGGGGAATGTGACTGCCAGCTCCAAAGTTCTAAGACAGCCTGTCCGTTCTTCAAAATTACACTTATTCATTTGTGTGTGCATATGACACAGTGCATGTGGAGATTGAGGACAACTTTAGGGAGTCACCCGGAGGGACTGAACTCTGGTTGTTGGGCTTGTCCAAGGTCCTTGACCTGCTGAGTAATCTTACCAGCCCCCACTACCCCCACCTCCCATCAACTTCTGGTGCATAGCATGCCTTTTCTTGTGAAATAACCTAATGATTGGGATTTCATTCCATTTCCTTAGGGCCACCACAGAGCATAGCCACGCTAGCATCACACTCTCCTCCACTCATTCCTCATCCTGGCTTCGGAGGAAGGGCTGATCAACCATTAGGACAGCCAGGCTCCTCTGTATACCCTATCCCAGTACATGTGAACCTGAGCCCTGCCCCCCCCCCCCAGAGTGCTTTTCTATAGTTATGAGCTTTGTGTAAGTGTAATAAGTACATAAAGCAACTCATTTACTAAATTCATGTCTCTTTCATCATCTTGTCAAGTAGTGTATTCCCAGCTATAGTAACCCGTATCTCTTAATTCTTCCTCTGAGGTTACTTTTGGCTCCATTGTCTGCATGTTGAGTGGGAGCCTCATCCAAACCAGCAGAGGTTATTACAGAATTAAGGAACAGTGAACCTCAGAAAACCCAACAGCGTGAAGGCGCCATTGAGGTCCCCCTTTCCCATTGTTAGGGTCTGAGTTTTGTACAGAGAAAGGAGGTTACCTGAGTTGGCATGGCCATAGAAATGGAGGCTTGGAATTCAGGAGACCCTCCATCCTATTTTAAAAGGTGCTACCATTGGTCCTTGTCTTAGGATTGCTAAGATAAAAACCATGACCAAAAGGCAAGTTGGGGAGAGAAGGGTTTCTTTGGCTTATGATTCCACACTGACATTCATCACTGAAGGAAGTCAGGACAGGAGCCCAAACAGGGCAGGAACTTGGAGGCAAGAACTGACTCCAAGGCCATGGAGGAGTGCTGCTTACTGACTTGCTCTTCATGGCTTACTCAGTGGCTTACTCAGTCAGAACCCAGGACCTCCAGCCCAGGGATGGAGCACCAGAAACGGACTGGGCCCTCCCCAATTAGTTGCTGATTAAGAAGATGTCCTACAGCTGGATTCTTTTTTTTTTTTTTTTTTTTAAGATTTATTTATCACATATACAGTGTTCTGCCTGCATGTATGCCTGCACACCAGAAGAGAGCACCAGATCTCATTGTAGATGGTTGTGAGCCACTGTGTGGTTGCTGGGACTTGAACTCAAGACCTCTAGAAGAGCAGCCAGTGCTCTTAGCCAATGAGCCATCCCTCCAGCTCTGGAGTCATTTTCTTAATCGAGGCTCCCTTCCTTCCAAAGACTCTTGCTTGTATCAAGTTTACATAAACTAGGCAGCACGGCCCTCAAATGAATAAGTAATCTGGGTCAGATGTAAATTTCCTCCAATGATATGCTGGTTTCATCTGGTAGACAGGAATTACACACACAGCTGTCATCCTATCTAGGCTGCACCCAAGGATCTACCTAGAATCAGGCAAAGAAATTCTGAGAATGCTAACCTCAAGCACCCTCTTTTCCCTCTATTTTCAGTAATTCACATAACTATCTGAAATACCCGGGGATGCTATTTCCTGGTGTGGCTCCCCAGTCAGGTCTGACAACTTCCACAGGGACAAATGTGGTAGAGAAATCAGGTATTTACTAGGGGACCACACCCTGTGCATGCCCTCTCAGGACTTTCTACTGTGCCGCTTATCTCTTGCTGATAAACTGCATTCGCTCAGGATGCCACACTTCTCTCTAAGCCAAGGCCAAGCTGGGACATGCAGCAGATAAAAGGAGTGGAAGGTAATTGTCATGGGCTTTTTCATTTAGGGCTTATGACAAGTGACTATCCTGGTGATGTGGGAGGGCACACAATGGTGCTCCAACATGGCAACCACTCTCAGATAGCCTGAGCACCATGAGACTTACTTTGGTAACCTCCCATTTAAAATAATATGCAGCTGGAAGCCTCATTGAAATACCTCTTGATTTCTATCCCAGAAAACCCATGGAAGTAATCAGCGTAAATATACACGAGGCCACCATGAATCTCAATGAGAAATT